GATTCCCAGTCAGGGCACATGCCTGGGTTGTGGGCCAGGTCCCCAGTAGGGGACGTGCAAGAGGCAACCACACATTGATGTTCCTCTCCCTCTCTTTCTCCCTCCCTTCCCTTCTCTAAAAAGAAATAAATAAAACAAAATATTTTTTTAATTAAAAAAAATAAACAGCTGCTCCTCATTCCTTTTCCCCCTAACTCCTGGAAACCACTAATCTGCTTTCTGTCTATATGTATTTGCTATTCTGCATATTTCATATGAACAGAATCATATTATATGTGGTCTTATTTACACATTGACTTCTTTCAGGAGGTGTCTCTTTGAGGCTCATTCGTATTGTAGCAGGTTTCGGTGTCTCATTCATTTTTTATGACTGAACAATACTCCAGTGTATAAATATTCCCATTTGTTTGTCCACTCGTCTGCCAGCGGGCACTTGCATTGTTTCCTCCTTTTGACTGTGTGGTTTGTGCTGCTATGAACACACACATACAAGGATTTATTTGATTACTTGTTTTTAATGCTTGGGTATATATATATATGAGTGGAATTTCTAGGTCATACAGTCATTCTATATTTAACTTTTTGTGGGGAAAAACTATATAAAGTTTTCCAGATGATTTGATGTGAATCTGGTGTTTAGAATCACTATTGTTGAAGATGAACGAGGTCACAAGAATAAATGAAATGTACTATGAAGAAGGTAGGGAGTGGGAATATTGCAGGGTCAAAGGCAAAACCTCTAAAAAAACACATTTAAAAGCTGCCAGCAAAAGAACCCATGAGGGAGGCACACGACTAGGGAGAGGTGCCCCAGAAACAGAGGAGAATCCGAAAGGGAACCGCCGATACCAACGCTGAGGCAGAATCAAGAGAGAAACTGGGAGTCTGCCGCATATGGCAAGATGGAAGCTCTTGGAGACTCGGGGTCCTCCAGCTTCACTGAGGGCCTGGTTTTAGGAGTTGGGGCTTACATGAGATGCATAGAAGTAGGGAAGAGGCAAGTACTGTACTATACTCTTATTCATTATTTGCTCTTAAAAGGCAAAGACCATGTCTGTCTCTCTATTCTCCCGTGACACCTAAGGAACATACAATGCAAGTTTCAAGCCCACAGTAAAAATCATATTGGACCTACCCATTTATACCTCATCAAATACTATGTCAATGCCATTGCCAGACGGAGCAATAAAGTGCAGGCGAGCGCTGGCTGGTAACTGTTCTGCCGACCACATTATGATCTTCTAGGATTTTAACTACATGGAAAATATTTGGGTATAACAATGTATAATTAGCAAAATTATATCATTCTAATCTCAGGAAAAATAGTTAACAAATTCTTACATTTTTCCTCTTTTTGCTGCCTAAAATATTGTTTTAATTTAAAAGTAGTTATCCATTCTTACACATGTACCAGTCTCTGAATCAATACTGATGGGAGACAATGTGTCATGATTTCACTGAAAAATTATTTTCTGAAATAAAAAATTTTCTTTTATAATTAAAGAGTAACTTGTACAACTATACATTTTAAAGATGAAAAGTGAGAGTTATGGTCAGCTTTATGTTTGAAGTCACATAGTAACTTTAACTGAAGTTTAAGTTCTCAATGAATAGTAAGCACATCTGAAGTGCATGCATGCTTTTTTTTTTTTTTTTAAGTGTGTGTTGATTTTTTTTTCAATCTTAAGTGTGAAACCAGCCAAGAAATGTCTCCTGGAGCGGCAAAGTGCGCCATCCTAGATTCCTTTTCTCAATTAGTGCTTCTATTTTGTAGACAGTAACAGTATTTAATTTGAAATTTCCTCTTTCTGTGCCAGCTCCAGTTGGAAGCCCTTCCTGTGAAGGCCTTAAGTGTACAGCTGTATGTGACACACACCACACTCAGAGCAGCCAGAGGACGGAGGGAAAGATGTTTTTCTTTAGTATCAAGCACCTGGCAAGAAAAGCAAACGCAGAGCCTGGACGGCATTCCTGCCTCTCCCCTGGGAGTCCAGACAGACTCGTTTTGATTTCCCTTTGAAAAACCTTGAGGTTAGAGCACATTTGTTCTGATTTACAGTTTACCAGACTTTTCTGTGTTGTTTCTTGTTGTTGCTGCTGCTGCTGCTGCTGCTTGTTTCTGCTCACCGACAAGTCAGGGTGAGGCCCCTTTACCGACGTGGCAGTTGGCAGGGAAAGTGACTCCTGGCTCTGGGAGGGACAGTGACAACCTCGAGTGCTGAGGACATCATGTAAGTCAGGTACCACCTATGCAGCAACTCCACAACGTAGACACAAAGAGGAAAGTATGAGGAAAAAGTACCTCCCCTCCACTCTTTCTGCTCTTCCTGCCATTTGCTTGTCCCTGATCTCACCTGCCCAGATGGAATCATGGGAAGAAAGCACAGTGTCAGTTGCTCATACAAGAGAGCTTGTTACACATGACACAGGGACAAAAGACAAAACTGATTAAATGGATTTCAAAAGTAAAGTATTTTTGCTGCAAATATTACTATCAATAAAGTAAAAACACAACCTATAGAATGGGAGGAAATATTTGTAAATCATATTTTCTGATTAGATACTTGGATCCAGAGTATATAAGGGACTCTTACAACTCAATCATTAAAAAAATTAACTGATTTTTTTTTTGAAATGTACAAAGGATGCAAATTTCTCCAAAGAAGGAAAATGGGCCATAAGCATAGGAAAAGATGCTCAACATCATTAACCATCAGGGAAATGCAAATCAAAACCACAGTGAACTTCCACTTCTCACCCACTGGGCTAATCAATTAAAGAGATGTATTTTAACAAGTGTCAGCTGAATGAAGATAAACTGGAACACACAGCTGGTGGGGACATACAGAAGTGCAGCCACTTGGGGAACCAATATGACAGTTCCTCGAATGGTGAAACACAGGGTTACAACCCGACCCCGCACTTCCTCTCTGAGGTATATACCCAAGAGAAATGAAAACATATGTCCACACAAAAACCTGTAATGAATCTTCATAGCAACATGTAATAGTCAAAAGCATAAATGATCCAAAGGTTAATCAAAATGGATAAATAACATGCGGTATATCCATGCAATGGAGTATTATTGAGTATAAAAAGGAATGAAATACTGGTACATCCCACAACCTGAATGAACCTTGAAAATATTATGCTAAGTTAAAGAAATCAATCAGAAAAGATCACATCTTATATGATTGCACTTATACAAAGTCATAAATAGGTAAATCTATAGAGAGGAGAAAGCAGATTAGCAGTTGTTCAGTTGTTGGGGGACTGGGGTTGGAGGGTAGAGGAGTATGAGGATTAACTGATAATGGATAAGAGGGTTTTTTCTTGGGATGATTAAAATATACCAAAATTGGTTGCAGTGATGGTTACAAAACCCTGTGAATATATTAAATGCTATTGAACTATACACTTTGGGTAAATTGTATAGTATGTGAATAGTATCTCAAGTTGTTTAAAAAGAGGGAGGAAGGCCATCATAAAACCAGGAGTATGGCATTTCATTTCCAGATGCTCTGGTCAGTCCCCACTGTCCTGGGTCCCTCAGAGCTGCACACATTCCTGACGTAAAGGGAACACAGAGTTCCTGTTCATTGTCTCAGAAACATCTGAGTTTGTTCCTTGCCCCCGCACATTCTACAGCCACGGGCACAAAAGTGACATGCCTTTCCATCCTGGAGGCTCCCAGAGTCAACCACTCCAGCTCTCCTGGGCCTCTGGGGGGCATGTTCCAAATTAAGAAAAGGGATGAGGACAGCAGAATAAACTGATAGAGAACTATCATTATGTGAACAGACGTAAACGGTTCTGGGTGGAGGGTGTATTTGTGAGGAAATGAGAACAGGTTCTTTGGTCTCATGTAGGAACCAGTGGCGGGTGGGGGTTGGTGAGGAGACCTCACAGAGACAACCGTCCGGAACCCAGGCAGTGGGCTTTCCCTCCAACTGCTGGGATCCCAAACGGGCAGTGTCATGAGAAGCAAGGGCAGAGGGAAAAGGAGGCAGAGCAGGTAATGCCTTTGCGGCCTTCTAAGGCAGAAACGGCGAGGCCATCTTGTCAATGTGACCACTGGTTATTCTAAGGTGACCTTGCCTGAACCCTCACGATGCGTCCTTAAAGCATTAATGCAGTGAGGAAGTTAAAAACATTCTGATAACCAGCTTCTGAGAAAATAACATAGAAAACTAAGTTTAATAGAGTATAAAAAGTATATAAACATAACATATAAGAGCACACACAAATGAGATTATTAATCTGGTAATTTTCAGAGAGCATTTAACCCCATACCAGGTACTGTTTAAGCACAGTGCGTTCAGAAATCAAAAGCTCTCCTCTCACCTTTCAAGTTGTGTACTGAAATTTTGGGGTGGTACCACTCAGCTCTTTTTTAAAAAAATACATTTTATTGATTATTCTGCCTGACTTTCAAATCTCTGTCATGAATGTACCTCATATAGCCGGGAGTCAACAGGATGTGACAAAGCCCACCTTGAAAACCATCCTGATTTCATGAAAAGCCAACAAAGCCTTCTAGTTGGACCGGAACACAAAAACTGCCCTAGCAGGGACCCAACCAATGCTTCTTGTTGACTGAAAAGAAATACCCACTGTACATCAGAAAGAAAGGCACCAAAATCGCACAGGTCTTGGAAGTGGAGCTCAGCCATCCAGAAGCAAGGAACCAAGTAGATCGTAGGACCCATCTACCTCCCCACACCAGCTGAGGCAGTTTTTCCAGTTTATCCCCCAGTGTGTCTATGATTGGAGGCTCTGGTTCTTCTCTCGCCTTCTCAGAAGACAACAAACAAAACAGAAACGTAAACACCACCAACTGCCTTCCACAGAATCTGTGAGTGGACAGTTAAATTCTCATTTGTGTTTTGCCTTCTTTATGCATTTGTACCCGTAGAATTCCCATGCATCAATCTCTTTTCTACAAACACAGGACACAGACACGTCAGAATATGAGTCTCACACAGCCTGCGCGGGCCTACCTGCAGCATATGACGGCTTTGCACGAGAGCGCCAAGTCTAGGAAGCTCCTTCGCACTTCAAAGGACAGCGCATACTTGAGGGTGTGGCCGTCGATGATAAGGGCCATGTCGTTCTCCTTGCCCAACAAATTTCCAAGGTCTGTGCAGTGCTGAGTGATGGCTGCCCTCGTTGCCTGAAACAAAGTTGGGGAAGTAGTCACATTTTTGTGTGTTTGGTTTTAATATATCAAAACCAAAACAGAAATCAAAAGTAAGTTCCTGGAACTGAGAACATGCCCATTCTAATGTAAAATATATGTAATGTAATATATGTAATATATATAATGTAAACAGACTTCAACTTGGTATATTTATTATTAAAATGTCATTGGACTGCTTGCTAGGTCTGTTTCATTAAAGAAAACCTCCGCATAGTGACAGTTGCATTTGACATTTATAATAACCATCCTGGGCCTGGCTGGCATAGCTCAGTGGATTGAGCGCTGGCCTGAGAACCAGAGTATCGCGGTTCGATTCCCAGTCAGGGCACATGCCTGGGTTGCAGGCCAGTTCCCAGCAGCAGACGCATGAGAGGCAACCATACACTGATATTTCTCTCCCACTCTTTCTCCTTCCCTTCCCCTCTCTCGAAAAATAAATAAATAAAATATTTTTTAAAAAATTAAAAAAAAATAATCATCCTGGCTGCAGCTGCAGCTGATATAGAGCATCCAAATTCTGCTCTATTGGAACTTTAATTGCTAAGGTCTTTACAACTATCTTTCTCTTCCCTCCTTTATACTGTTGTAATGCATGCATATTCTTCTTGGTGCCCCTAGAAACTCCGCACAAAAGATGTGCTTTTTGGGAAAATAAATATTGCTGGTTTAAATAGCAAATGTTTCTCAGTTTGCACAAGGTAATCTTTAAGCCATCCAGGGGATATTAGTGTATATAAAAATAACATGAAAGATTAATTTATAAAATTTGCTGAGATCTTCAGACTAAACCATTTCTTTCTTTGGATCATCAGAGGAAGAGAAAAACTGATTATTTTTTCACATTACAGAAAGTATCTCATCAAATTAAACTACCAATAACTTTTAACACATTACTACCAGCCTAAAAAAGTGCCTTGGTGTGACATCTATTATCAGATGAAATTAAAGCATAGAATCATTCTTAAGATTTTTAAAAAAATGATGTTCTGATCTTCCCAGTGAATTTATGACTATGAATAGGATATCTGGTTCAAATATAAGAATGCAATTTTTGGCTTATAATAAAAAATCTGGTTTAAGTTAATCAGGGAAGCACTACAGTCTGCTGAAATTGTTTTGTCTGGACAACTATCCTTTGACTGCTAAGTTACATATACATGTAATTTATCATATAATAACATAAATTACAGTCAAAGAAATAAGCTGAATGAACAGGAATCCTTCCACCCCTTATTAAACTGAGGATCAGCTACCATCACAAAGTAAGAAACAGACTGTATTATCTTTCCGCTCAGTTTTCACGCTCAGCAAGGACACTTGGCAACATCGGAAAGGTGTACGTAAGGCATGGCTGTGTCTGGAGCCGCTGTTCTGTGGTCAGATAGTCCCAACTCTCCACTAATTACCTCTGTGACCTTGGGCAACATATCTAACCTCATTAAATGATCATTTTCTCACACAAAAAGTGGAGCTTGGAAAATTCATTCGATAGCTCTTCTCTTGTGAACTGGGCTTGACACACAGTGTATACTCAACAATGCTCATTCTTCCTGCACTGCTGCTTATTCATTAAGGGTTCCCTGTATCAAGAGTACATTATTGACAAAGCCGCATCTGTCAATGGAATAATGGAATAATTGATAGAATAGTGTTCTGAGAATAAAAGTTAAATTGACTTTTACTAAAAATAAAAATACAGGAAACTTCACACTTCTTATTCTTGAGTAATTCTAAATCTCAAGCAAAACATCTATGTTAACCTTACCTGTGCCAACAGCCTGACCTTTCAAATTTGTGTAGAGAGAAGAAACTCTACCCACTTAGGGAAATCCCAGCTCGGCAGCCAGACTGTGTCCACCAAGGAACTCAGAGAGGTCTGGGCAATTCTGGAGGGTGTGCCTGCCAGGGGTCAATGTGTGGCAGAGAGAAGATCCTCCTGGGAAATTGGGATGAGTCGAGGTATACAGTTTTGATCCTTGGATGATGTGTCCATGCTGTCTCAGGGGCAGAGGCTAGTCCAATGACTTTACTCCTACCAGCCTCCCCATCTACTTTTGAAGGAAAAGGCTGAAGAATACAGATCTGAGATGTGGTAGTCACTGGCTGTGGCTTTGTTTAAAAGGGGGCATAGTACCCATGGAGCTATGTAGAGACAGTAATATTATGAAGGGTACTTTCTCTACTCGGGTTATTTCCGGGGCATGCGTGAGGACACACTGGACACCAATGGCGCATCTCCCTCCATTGGAGGAGGAGTAGGCTGGTCCCCAGTTTTGGCGGCTGAGCACCCGTCAGTGTGTAAGGCCCAGGTCATGAGCAGGGAGGGTGCCACCAGAATGAGCCTCAGCACTGGGAACACAAATGGCAGAAATGTGGCAACAAAATGATGTTCCTGTGACATTCGTCATCTTCCCCTCCCCCAAACTAATTGTACAGGAAGGGCCTGAAAGGAAGCAGGAGTTTTAACAGCGGCAGGTGGGGACAGAGAGGATATGTGTCCAGTGCACATCGACTCCTGGCAGGCATACCCTCCAGAGAGGCTCTCTGCCTGAGAATCTCTTCCTACGCCACAGCCTGCCATGACCTGGGGAACGGGTGACACCGAACTGAACTGCTTTCAAGGTGAACCATTAAAAATGCTGTGTATTTGAATATTTATATTCCTTCCAAAGTTCATACTGAAAGCCCAAACCCCAGTGTGAGAATAATTGGAGGTGGGTGTCTCTGGGAGGTGATTGTTTCATGGGGGTGGAGCTCCCACACTCCAATTATTGTCCTTTAAGAAAGACCAGAGAGCTTCTTCCCTCTCTTCCTTTCTCCACTCTACTTTTCATCTCCCCCTCCAGACACATGAGGATGTGAGTCGAACCCATTATAGTCAGCCAACCAAGACACAGTTATCAGTTATCAGAGTACCTCCTGTGCTCCCGTGGTGACATAAATAAATAAATATATAAATAAATATTCTAATACCAAGAACACATGTTCTATGTTATCTGCCCCATAAATATTACAATGCACACCATTAAGAATAAAATAATGAAAACCTAACATTCTGCTAATGGATGGATCCTAGATATCACCACCATCATATCCGAGCCTGCTGTGGCTCATTTTAGTGGTTGGCTATTACACTAAAGTATAAATTCCATGAAGGCAGAAACTCCCTTGGCCTATAATCATGCTAACCCATACATAGTAGGTGCACAATTAATAAGTTGACTTCATAATGAAGTGACATGTCTAAATTATTAAACATGCATGGTATTGTTTCTAAGACATCGTTTATGGATCTTGGAGGCGGGTATTCGACCTCCTGGTACACCTTGCATTACAATTTCCTTAAAAATATTCAGCTCTCAGTCTTTCTTACCCCTTGTCTCCTGCCCTTTTTGTTTTCAACTTTTCCTGCTCCTAATCTCCCTTCTCTCCTATTTTCCATCTTGTTCTTCCCTCTCTGTAGCTGTTCAGAATCACACCTTTGTCTTTGAAATTGAAAACCTTTCCTACTGCTAAAACTCCTCCAGAGCCATCCTTCTAACGCCTCGTCTCAGGCCTCTACTTTGGTTTTAATTCCCAGGCTTTCAATGCCCACTCAGCAATAATCTTTGATCAAACCCAGACTAGCTGGGTTCACCACACACGTGTGGCAGAATATAGGTCCCTTCTGTGCAGTTCTCAAGCAGGCCAATTGAAGGTATTACTATCACAAACAGTTCCTTATTCTCAAATGGACTATGATTCAAAAGTCTATTTGTAAGTTAGTTATTGGGCACTTAGAATCCATTTTCCCAAAGGGACGATGTTACAAATTGCGGTTGGATCCCAGAGCTTGTTAATGCCTATTTAGCTTAGTCGCTAAAATTATACTGCAGTCTCTTATTTTAATAAAAAACCAATTACTACAAGTTACAATGGACTTAGCTGTTACGAGGGGCATAGGGAGTTGGGGCTGGGGGTTTCATTCCCAGAAGATATGGAACAGTCCAAAATCTTTCATTACAATTTGCCTTTTAGGCATAATATGAAAATATATATTTCCAGCTTTCCATGCATGCTCAACAATTTTACCTTCCTTCACAATTAAAAACACACACACAATTTAGTGCCAAAAGTGAGGGACTGTGACTATAGGCTGACCCCTTAGCCATGCCAACAGCTTGCCTTTTTCCCACTTGCACTGTATTGTGAACCTACACTTCTTATCATTAAGGTTGGCACTTGCTTTTTCGCTTTCCATTTTTAAAATACAGTGATCTAAACATCATACACAGTGCTATCCTGTGATCTCAGGAAATGGTTGTCCATCTGCTGATTAAGATGAGGTTCATAGGTCGGGCCCTGAAGTAAAGGTGAAGTGCAACCAGCCCAACTCATGAGCAGATGGGATCTGAAAGGTGGTTGGTTCTGTTCACCACATTTTAGGTTTAATACACAAACCAGGAAAAACGGCAGTGTCTGGAACATGAATGCATTTCCATCAATATGCAAACAGCAGGAATCTTTCCTCAAAATTAAATAGTTGCAGCACCACTGAAATTCGCTAAGGCAGGTAATCCTCTGCCTCTCTGTGAGCTTGGCAGCGTCATAAGGAATTTCTTAGACGCCATGGTAGCAGCAGCTGCCTGGGCCCTCACTTTGATGTTCTGCAAATTCCAATGGGCTCAGGGCTGATGATGCTGAAAACCAGGATGGTTCAAGTTTCAGGAGCAGCAATTGAACCAAATCATGCTTAGCCTTCAAGTTGAAGAGTAAACTCCCTTCTCCTGAATTAACCTTGGGCTAGTGAGTATCTAGTGGTATTGCTCATCCCCAAGACCACGTGTTCAGAATGGTTTTGTTTTTTTCCCACTCCATTTGTCTACTTTTCTGATGCATCTTTTCTCACCACCGCACTCTCCCAGGGTTCTTCAGATCATTCCCATTGCCCAGTATCTCATACCAGGTACAGCTGCATTCACCATATCCCCAAC